AAATATACAAAGAAGAAGAAAAACAGCTAAAATAATCAGCTGTTTTGCTGTCTTCTTTCTATGTTGACAAATACGCATTAATTGCCACAATTATAATTGCCCGCAATCTCTGAACTTCATTTGCGACCGATTATTGTTTATTGTTTGCTGTTTGTTCTTCGTCTGCGGCGGCTTCTTCTTCTTCTGCTTAACCGAAAAGTCAACTTTTGCGTCGTTGTCGTTTTGCTCTTTGTTTCTGTTTTCATTTGGACAGAATGATGGGTATTTTAAGGTTTTAAGGTTTTGTGAATGACATGTAACAAGTTATCGAACTTAAGATCAGAATTATTTTTAATATCATATATTTAAGAAAACAGGTTTATTTTTACAAAACTGCTAACCTTTTTTTATTGATTGGAGAGTAAAACCCTATATAAATTAAAATGTATTTTTCTTTTTAATATTAAACTTTTTAATTATGTGATAATTTTTCAAAATCACAGGACAGGGTATCCACTTTTAGACACACAACAAAAACAAAAGGAGCAGAAGGTGAAGACAAAAAACAAGAAGAAGAAGAGGAGCAACGACCCAACATTAAGATTGTTGTTGTTTTTTGCCGCTGCTTCATTTGGCTATTGTCATCTCGTTCGCACCGCTGCTTGGGGTCAATACCCCACTGTCAAAGAATTTAGTGATGAAATTAACATGGGCATGTCCTAGACTGTCATCAAAGACAAATTCAACGAATTGTTTCATGAACTATTTATCAATTTACTGTCCCACTGTCATGATCTATTCATCAACTTTTTATTGATTATTCATATTTTTTTCGCCACCTATTAACAGATCATTCATGCATTTTTCATCGAACTTCCTCAAAATATACACTGCTCATTTATTATTGTTTCATCTTTCCTTCATTACCATTGTTTTTCTTATTCATTTAAATTCAGAAAGTTTTTAAAAATCTGATTTTCCTTAATCATATAAAATTTTCAGTCCTGTCCCCATCGACAGGAATATTATTTTTAAAATAATAATATGGAAAATAATGCTAAGGAAATCATAATTTTGACTAGCTGACTCGTTTTTATTTAATTTTTTTGTTTTAATTTATAATTTGCCCTTTAATTTTTTCAATTAAATCTATTGGTTCCAAGGAACATATGAAAATGTTAATTATTACCAACAAAAAGCCAATTGGTGCCACTGTGCGTCAGCTTGGCAGATGGCACGCTGATGACATTGGCCCATTGATGACATGTGGAACCGCAGGGTAGCTTTGATTCGGATCGGTTTTATATAAATATATAAAACATATAGACCGATTGCGGTTGCTTTTCTTATCAGAAAATAACATGAAATTTATTGCGTTGCAGAGCGCAAAAGAAAGAAAGGGAGACCGAGACAGAGACAGCGAAAGAGGGAGAGGGAGAGAGGTAAACAAAAATACACAAACACATACACATGCGCGCTACAGCTGCTCGCTCGCATGTGCGTGTATGTGTTGCAACAAACAAAAAGCTAAAAATCCTTCTTCTTCTTCGCTCCCTTTTTCCACAACAAAGTCAGCTGTGTGTGTGAGGAATGAACTTTAAAACAAGCTTTTCTTCTGTTGTTTTTTTTAGCGAGTTTTTCTAACCGAAAGGCGCAATTTACACACACACAGCTAAGCAAAATAGAAGAAATAACAAATCAAAATAGAGAATATAAACAGAAAAACAGCTATCCTATACATACACACACACAAAAACAAGGGGAAAAAACTGTTGTTTTCGCAACTGCATTTGCCTGCAGGTGTGACAGAGAGGGAACGAGTGGGTGAATGTTGCAAGCACTTACGTCCTGTTTTTTGTTTGTTTGTTTGTTTGCTTGTCGCCTTTCGCTGTCGTTCGCCACAAGCACAGCACAGCACACATTCGCTCGCCACACACACGCACAGACGGAGAGACGGGCAAAATATGGCACTCTCTTCTCTTTCACTTGTATAATAATGCAAAAATCTGCATTGTTTCGTTTGGAATTTGTTGTTGTTGTGTGTCGAGTGTGACCAGGTAGTAAGTACTAAAAATATGCAACGGTATTTCTTCCTGGTGCAGGTGGTATATGTTCCAGTATATTTTTATCCATACCGATACACTCGCACTTTTCAACACTGTTCTGCTTGTTCTTCATCACCCCTGGTTTACATTATCGATGTTCTAACATCTAGTTTGAAATAAACTTTTGTTCAAAAAGCGAAGGATTTTTTAACGATTTAAATTTTCTGTATCTAAGTACACATTTATTTAGCCCAACAAAAAATAATCCGAATGTATTCACTGAAACGATTCCCTATAAGAGGATTCTTAAAATAAGGACCGAACTTCTTTGGAACCCTTGGGAATGTAAATTAAATGTGTTATAAAAAATTGATGTTAAATGTTAGAAAGATGGCTTTATTATATTTGAGATCCATGCGGCAATACAAAAAAATTAAATGAAATAAAAAAAAACATCGTTGTTACCGATATTTCGATAACATATGTAGCATCGATGACAACAGCCACCTCTAGCCAGCCCTGGTTTACATTCGTAACGAAGAAGCAAACACTGTTTTTTTTGCAGAACTCATTGAAGTTTTCTCGTGTTTTTCGCCATTTAACCGAACTAGCAAAAGGTGAAATTAGCATAAAAATTGAGCTTTAATTGTGGGTTGAGTGCCACAGGGATTTGCCAAGGCAAAACATTGAGATTAGAGCTGGGAAAAGGCAGAACAGCAGCCACCGGCCTAACCTACAAAGTTACATAATTTGCTCTTATTTTTGTTGTTAAATGTGGAAGCTTGGCTATAATCGATGTAATCTCGCTTACTTACAGTCCAGAATGTCCTTCGTGAAGAACGCCCGTCTGCTGGCCGCCCGCGGCGCCCGTTTGGCCCAAAACAGGAGCTACTCGGACGAGATGAAGCTCACCTTCGCCGCCGCCAACAAGACCTTCTACGATGCCGCCGTGGTGCGCCAGATCGATGTGCCCTCCTTCTCCGGCTCCTTTGGCATCCTGGCCAAGCACGTGCCCACTTTGGGTGAGTGGCCAGTCCCTGGTTGGGGTCACAACTTGGTTATATCACCTGGTAATCCCTCTGTTCTCCGCCCTTCCAGCCGTCCTCAAGCCCGGCGTCGTCCAGGTGGTGGAGAACGATGGCAAACTGATCAAGTTCTTCGTCTCCAGCGGCTCCGTCACCGTCAACGAGGACTCCTCCGTCCAGGTGCTGGCCGAGGAAGCCCACAATGTCGAGGACATCGATGCCAACGAGGCGCGCCAGCTGCTCTCGAAATACCAGTCAGAGCTCAGCTCCGCTGGCGACGATAAGGTGGGCATCTGGTCGAAAAGTTATATAAAACATTGGCTAGAAGATCGGCCAGTCTAGGAAGTATCATATGTCTATTTCGTAGTAACTTCGTGTCTGATCCTAGCACCTTAGTTTGTCTGTATCTATTTGCCTACAACTTTGGCGCACGATTTGTGATCTAATACCTGGGTTTGTCGGTATCTATAGTAGAAACTTGAGTAGTGATCACTTAACGATCACCCAGTCCAGAAACTATAACAAGCTTTGTAGGAAATAGCTTTTTTGGCCTTATGCATAATATAATCTTTAAAGTAACCTCTTGAAGGTAATCCGGTCCAAAAACCTATTACTATAATTATTAGTTCTTATTTGCCTGCAACTTTTTCGTACAAAGTGTGATCTAAGAATCCTTATTAGAACTTACTAACAGTGAAAATAAGTACCATGAAAATAACTAAGTCTTGAATCTGTGATTATTATGATTTGAATAAGCAATTAACTAATTGATATACTATAACTTACAAATCAAAGACAAGACTTGATTCCTTAGGCTTTTAAAATTTAAATTTTCATCTTAGAAGTACTTGTAAATATTATTTACCTTAAGCATTTGTGGCAACAAAAGATCCCCCTTGTTTATGATCTTTGTTTATATAAATTACTAGTTTAGCTAGTCATTTGTTCGGGAAACTGTAACTGGTACAACTTCTGTGAAATTTCAGATGCTCTAAGCATTCCTTTAATTTAAAGCCATATATGAATGAAAATTGTAATTTTCCAGTTAAAGATTTAAAATACTCTTGATAAGATTAGAAAAGGAATAAAAGCTAAAAGAGTTGATACTTAAAACTAGGTTACGGCACTAGAACAAAATAATTATTAAGTGTTTACAATATATTTAGAAAGTCGATAAAGATGTTTCCACACAATTTGACAGTTGTAAAAGAGCATAACGATACATTTCATACATATTCTTAGAAGCCAATTGAATAATATTGTGCTTTACTGCTTTAAAGTGTTTTCTGACTACTGTTCTATACCAATCCTTGTTTTGCAGGCCAAGGCCCAGGCTGCCATCGCCGTGGAGGTCGCCGAAGCGTTAGTCAAGGCTGCCGAATAGACGTAATCACCACACTACCGCCACCAATAAACCACAATCGATGCTTTGTGTCTGAAATTAATAAAACATAACGATCACCTTAAAAAGAAAGAGCGTTATGAAACAATAAAAAGCGAATCATAATATCGTATTAATGACCCGTGATCCACCACGCAAACATTTTTTCTTTTTTTTTGTTGTGTGCTTATAGTTTATAACATTTGTGATCCGCTAAAGAGAAATGTGCAATACTTCTCGCCATGGGACTGTCGATAAGATAATGTTTTGGCGACCTTTAACTCAAACATGAGTGATTTGCATTTTGGATGGAATGTGCGAAAGGAAAGAGACCGGTATAGTTTTTTCTTCTCTTGCCAACCTATGCAAATCGCACAGGTTTTCTTGGAAATAGATTTTAAAATTTAGGATATTGTATAAAAGCATAGCTTATAATAGGCAACATTTTTATTTCAGATTTTAAGTGATTCGGTGCTATAAAAACAAACTAAATGCGACATGTACTATTTAATTCTTCTGGTGAAATGTATTGCATACCAAAAGGGCGTCCTCGAGACTTCTAAAACCAAAACTCTATAAATGAGGTAAATTAAAATTACCTAAATGACATAAAGAACTAATTGAAGCTAAAGCTTAAATGTAAATAATAAGTATTTAAAATAAAATAATGCCCTAAACTATAAAATTCAGTTTCACTAAAACAAATTTTTTAAAAAAATAGTTCCAGTTCCTGAAACTAACATTATTACAAGTAATAACCCTTACAGGTTTTAAGTATCACTTCCCAGTTAAAAACTTTTAAATAATTAAGACAAAGATTTCTTTTTTTGGAATTGTCTATGTATTTTCTAACAAAAAAATGTGGTAAAAAAAATGTCTTAAATTAACTCATGGCGTTGTGTAGGAATGGTAATATGCTCTCTATGTAGTTAGCAGGAAGGTCCTCCAAGTGGATGGTGACTTTTGGTGACCCTAGTACGCTGGTGGGCCGTAGGTCTGGGCGGGGGCGTGGCCGATGGGCAGGGACTGCTCCTCGGGCGCGAAGAGGGGTGCAGGAGCGGGATGGGGGACGCTAAGGACGGGAGCGGGAGCTGGCGCTGGAGCGGCATAAACTGGAGCTGGAGCAGGTGCGGCATAAACTGGAGCAGGAGCTGGAGCTGAGTACACTGGAGCAGGTGCGGCATAAACTGGTGCAGGAGCTGGAGCTGAGTACACTGGAGCAGGTGCAGCATAAACTGGAGCAGGAGCTGGAGCTGAGTACACTGGAGCAGGTGCGGCATAAACTGGAGCAGGAGCTGGAGCTGAGTACACTGGAGCAGGAGCTGGAGCTGAGTACACTGGAGCGGGCAGATCGATGGGTGCAGGGGCAGGGCCATAGGCTGGACCGGCAGCGGAATGCTCATGGATCACACGCACCACCTTGGTGGCACCACCCGAGGAGTAGCCTCCGGAAGAGTATCCACCAGAAGAGTAGCCACCCGAAGAGTAGCCTCCCGATGAGACACCGCTGTCGTGGCTCTCGTGGACGACCTTGATGACCTGGGAGACGGCACCGCCGCCCGAAGAGGAGCCGCCACCGATGAAGGAGGGTCCAGCCCCGTGTCCGGAGGCCACATTCACCACCTTGACGATTTGGGGCGCACTCTCGACCAGCGGGGCACTCACAATGGGTGCGGATTCCTGCAGGATCTTGATGACCTTCACGGGGGCGGGGGCGTGTGCGTGTTCGTAGCTACCGCCGCTGCTGCCGCCAGAAATTACCTTAACCTTGTAGACCTGGGGAGCAGCCTCGTAGGAGTAGCCGCCGCCATAGGAGGCGCCGGAGGAGTAGCCGACACCGCCGCCGCCGCCCTGCTGGTGGATCACCTTGACCACCTGGACGGGGCCACTAGGTCCATGGCCTCCGTGCCCATGGCCACCACCTCCGTAGCCACCGCCTCCGTAGCCACCGCCTCCTCCATTGCCGCTCAGGCTGATGCCCGCCTTCAGGCTAGGTCCACCGCCGCCACCACCGCCACCACCGCCTCCTCCGAGGAGACCCAGGAAGCCAGCGTTGGCCACAGCGAACAGAGCACACATGCAAACGAAGACCTGGAAGGAGGAGTGGGTAAGGCCAATATTAGTACAAATTAGTAATATTCTAAATAATATATCATCTTATCAGCAATAAGATTAATTTGTAAAGTTACTTCTTATATCATTGTTTGAGAACTAAACTTTATAATATGAAAGTTCCTTTAAAGTTTCTTTTGGAACATATATTTTGCAGTATTATGTTGAACCATCTCATATTTTACGTTTTTTTTTGTAAGTTTTGAAAGTTCTTTGTTCTAACAATTCTTTAAATCGTTTACTTATATAAACAAAATAAAACTTGATGTTCTTAAGCACACTTTTGTTAAAAAAATAACGATATCGTATTCATTTTTGAGTAACACTTTTTTTGCTTTGATCTTTTCTTTGAGGGGTTCGGTTCTTAGCACTTGTTTAGATCAGTTTTATAAACCAAAAAAAAGTATATGTATTTGCAGGCACAGGATATGTTGAGCAGCTCACCTTCATGCTGACTACTAATCCACTTGATGCGATGATACCAATTCCAAAAAAAAACGCCTTGAGAGCCGATGAGCAGCGACTGATGTCCGATCGATCGGAGACCAAGTCTTTTATACGATGTAAGCCATCTTTGGCGAACAAAAGGCGTTTCATTAACATTTCCAAACCACCCATCAACATCATCATCACCACTATCCACTATAATCATCATAATCATCGAGATGGGCTTTCGTTTTCATTTTAATTTTCACCCGATGCTGGGCGCACCCAAGTTCTTCTATTGCCATTTCGGTTTCTATCCAGTTACCCGTACCAGTTGTCATCGCCACCGTCGGGATCTGGTTTTAGTTTCGTCAAAGTCTTACGCTGCATTTCCTACATTCCGAATTGGGCTCCCACAATTAGCATGAAAATGAGACGCTACGATAGTGATAAGCCCGATTGCGGCTTTCATATTTCTGTTCGTTTTGGGGTTTTATGTTTTAGGTTTAGGTTTTCGTTTTCATTTATGTATTTTTTGTGTCATTTGCATACACGGGTTGTGCAGAGAGGTTGCTTCATAAGGCGGCCGGCAGTCTGTCATAAACCAAAGCGAAAACCGAACCCAACCCACCGGCGATTTCAAGGTGAATCGGAATCTGTTGTCAACCGACCCATCATTGGTGAGGGCCATACTCCATATATAATAGTACATTTGTATAAATAAAACAGGCCGATTATGCAAGACGTGTAAAACGCACTATGTTGGCCCAATAAGCATAAAACGTTGTAAATTGGCCAACGGGGCGGGTCTGTCGCTTTCAGTAAACCCACTAAGTATTACCTAAATACAACGATAAATCATATAATCATGGATTTTATAACCTTGCCTCTTAAAAGCATACTTATAAAGTTATGAGAGGTATTAGAATCATTTATCAAGTGTCAGAACTTTTATTTTCATTATATAATGTTTTGATAAACAAACGCAAACTAAAGATGTTATAAATGTAATATTTATTACCAAATATATGAAGTAATCATTTAATCCGCTAAATATTTAAGAGTCTAGTTAAAAATATAGTATATAAGCCTTATAGACCTTATAATTATATTTTGTACTATACCTATACATTTCCATTTAAAACTTTAACAACGGTATACTGGTATTTTAGTGTATCTAGCTGCATCATATAGTCCCTAAATGCACCCATGTTATATCAATTAACACTGGTCCCAGCTAAGCTTTCAGTGGGCAGAGCGGATTGCCTATAGCAAGTGTGGGAAAACTAGGGCTCGAAACGGAAACATCTAAAGGTTGCCAAACCTGCACTCCACCACTAATCGTGATTATGATCTTGTCTTGGTTTATTATGGCTTGTTAATTGATCCATGCATGGAATGCAGCAGTTGGGGAGTTCATACATATGTTAGTGGGTCTTCAAACTCGAAACAAGTTTATCTCAAGTTTTCGGTGCAGTTTTCGTTTATTATTTAGAGATTGGCACTCATATTTAGGAGATAGCTTGGCGCCATTACTTTGAAACTAAATGTGTTACTTACTTTTACCTTTAAGTCCCATAATCTTGGTTACCCGCACCATTAGCCACATAAAATTGATTTAGCTTAAGATTAATGATCTGGCACCTAGGAATTTATCACCCTTACCCAATAGCTCTTCAAACCTTATAACCTTTAAAAGTAAATCATCGATTTATTTAGTTGTTAGTTTTATTCAGGGTTTATTTTGCACATAAGGAAAGGTCGTTAACATGGATATCCATCTACTTCTGCTTCAGCCAGCCGCCGTAGGATTGGACCAGAGGAGCATCGTAGACGGAGGCGTGTCCTACGCGAACCACGGAGGGCACCACCGGTACGGAGTCGATCACGGACACATGACGCAACACTGGAACCCTGTGAACCACGGGCACGGATCGCACCACCGGAACACTGCGGAGCACGGACACGGATCGCACCACGGGAACGGTGGCCACGGGAACGGAGGCTAGCGGGGAGTAGATCACACTGCTCTGGGCGAGGGCCACGCAGGCGGCGATCAGGAAACTGGCGATGAAGAACTGCAAAGGGGATATATCATTTTGTAGTTGATCTTACCATAAATAACTAAATGTATGAAATTTGGAGATCTAACGATTATAAACCGGAAAACGGATGTATTATATTATATTATCCTAAATAGGAATAACCAAATTTAGGGATCCAACGAATAAAAACTGTGAAGTTTATATAATATATTATACTATCCTTAATAATACAAATCAAATTTATAGACCTAAAACAAATTGGATCTATTATATCTCTATTGACATTTTGAAGCACTTTCTTTGAACTTAAAGAAATTCAAGTACACTGGTGCACTCAATCACATCAAATATGGTTTTTTTTAACTTTAACACTTTTAAATAACTTATTAATTTTTATATCAATATTTATTGGACAATAAAGTAATTCGAAATTTAAGTGGTTTTTGCATTTAAAAACATTTTTATGGCCCAGACATTTTGATCGTTAGACAAACACTTAAAACTGGAACACATTTTGCATTACTTGTATATTAAATATTGCATCATGCTTTTGTTATAACATTTTGAGTCACACAAAAAAAAGAAAAAATAATTCCGATATTTCCACGTTCTTTTAATATAAATTCACAGTTTTGCTTAACACTGAGTATCCTCTATTTGTGTATCCTTTTCAGCTCCACTCACCTTCATTTTTGTAAGGTTGGTTCTTTTTTTGTTAGTCTAGCTTGAAGGCTGGATGGTTTGTGCTGATCTGTTGGGGGTTACGGAGATCTTATATACCCGAGCCGCCTAGAATCTTGAAAGTGGAGCAATAAAACTGGCCGAAAAGAACATATACGGATGCAAATTTGTGCGGTATCCGTTTAATTGTCTTGATATGGGTGCCATTATCATTGATATCCACCAGGCTTACCGCATGATCGAACAATGCGATTCGGAGTCATAACTTATTTGAGACGCCTTTCAAATCGCCAGAACAATGAGAACTTGTTTCCTGCGACAGGTGATGATCATCTCACCTGGCGAATTTCCGCACCTTTGATTAATTCTTGTGCAAATTGATTGCTTCATAAACGTAGTGGGCTTATTTTATCATAGGTGCGTGTGTTTCTATTTTGGCTAAACTTTATTTACGAGCCATTGTGCACGCCCTATTATGCTTTTTGGTCCACCAAAAACTATGCAAATTTATTCAAGACCGTGCAAAGCTTCATCACCAAAAAATATATTGTTTGCTTTTGCTATTTCTCTTTGGATTTTTGACATTCTTTTACCAATACTAGTATTTATTTATGAATGTAAATTGTATCTAGGCCTAATGTTTGTATAAAAATCCCCTATTTTCTTGTAAGCTACTGTTTAATATTTACATTTTCCCAATGATCAATGGATTTAAAATGTGTATTTGTTGTTAAAATAGAGTGCCAGCTGAAATTGTTTTTCTTTTTTTTATTTCGCATAGAATGAATAAGTTTTAAAATATTATTTTGTTCACTTTATTTATTTGACGAATAACAGATAATGAATTCTATTTTTTAATTTGAAATTTTATTATAGCTTGAATTGTGTTTGTTATTTTCATTTCCTGTTTTTTTGAGTCATTAAGTGATTGTACTCATATTTTAAATACACAGTAGCTCGGATTTACGTTTAATTTGAAATCTCTGAATTTCTTGAAGGTTGCTGCATTTATGATTTCCCAGTAAAACTTTGTTTTTATTAAAGGATTGGATAATACATTTAAACTTATTACAAAAAAAGTGGTCATCTTAAAAAAAAACCTCAAAAAATATTTTCTAATAAGAAATAAAATCGAAACTTACATTTTTAAGTGATCTTACATTTGACATTCCAGTGACTCACTTGTTGACATCGATAACTCGGCTGGATGAGTTTAATGCGAGTGCCTCATATAAAAATGTTTCTATTTCTAAGTACTGGGGATCGCTGATCATAACATTATTTTTAATGTAATTTCCTTAATTAATAAATTGCAGCACCAATACTAGTTATTTGTATTTATTTAGCACTTAGCTTACTTATATTTAATCGGATTGAGGAATACCCCTACTGCCCACCCGCAACCAAGCCCACGAACAGCTGTTTACATCGTGCCGTCTCCCTCGCACGCTTTTCGCTGTGCTGTGAATTTCTTCTTTTTTTTTGTGTGTTAAACAAATTGTTTAAACGAATTGCAGAAATAAGGGCCTTAATGGCGGTGTAATCGAATCGCAGTTGTAAACAAAAGGGGGCGGGCAGTGCGACATAAACATAAACATTGGGGATTCCATATTTGCAACATGAGTGCGACCAATCGCAGTCGCAGAGGCAACAACAACATGGCGCACCTGCAACAAAAGTCTTCATGTTGACGTCAACAAAGTGAAATCCGATCGAAAGAAAAGTGATAAAGAAGGGGGAGAAAAGGAGAGAGTGAAGAGCCGGATAGCCGGGTGAAGAGCAAACGTCGAGGAGGAGGAGGAGCCCCCGGAAGCCAGGATGTACTCCGAGTGGGCCTCGCTGTCCGCCCAAATCTCGGCCAACAGCTGCGGCGCCCAGTGCTTCAGCGTCCTCAACAAATTCCCCGCCTCCGCCGGACGCGAGGTGGTCGTCTCCGTGGTCAAGCAGCTGGGCACCAACCTCGGGATCACCCAGAATGCAGAGCCCAGCCACCTGGTCAAGGACGAGGAGGTGGGTGATCGTATAGTGGCCTCTAAGGGCGAGATAATTCATATCCTGTATTACTTTTTAGCTAAAAACTAGATATACCATCGTTACAATAGCATTTGGGGACAGATCACATTATATACCATCTTCAAAATATCACTTAACAAGTATATCATATTATATACCATCTAGAAAGCATAATATTCCTCATTTGTATGTTTTACCAACTAAACATTGGGTATTCTATCTTTAGAATATCAATTAAGTGACAGATCATATTTTTTAGCAAACAAATTGAAGGGTGGGGTCCAGAAATGACGATGGAAAAGTCTCCATGTACCAAACATACCTTATATATTCCGTACCTTGTGTCTTCACTAGGTTTTCTATCTTAACAATATTAGGGACATATTATTATATACCATCAAAATATCATTAAATGGACAGATCATATAATACATCATATAGATATAGCATAATATTCCCCATCTTGTATGTTTAACTTACTTAAAATTAGGTAGTTCATCTTTAAAATGCCGTTTCAGAGATAGATCATATTATATATCAAATAAATTGAAGAAACTAAAGTTGAAATAGTCTCTATAGAGCTGATATTCCAACGTATTCATAATTTAAAGGCCCAAAAAGCTTCCATCAAATGCATTTAATTGTGCAAATAATTGCTAGTGCGAGGCCAATTAATATTAACTCAATCTGAAAGCGAAATAAAATGGTTGTTTGTTTGTTTAATGTGGAAAATGCTATTTATAGATAACTTAGATAGTACTCTGGGATATGCTAATGAAATTGCCTCTTAATAAGAGTTTTCTGAAGGAAAAACTTTGAAAATATGTAGTTAAAAGTAACACTTCAGATCATAATACTAAGCCCAAAGACATCGGTATTAAAATTCCCACTCCACTCCAGGTAAAATGGTGCATGGACGTCATTTGCTTTGGACTCTCCCTCCCGCTGCAGGAGCACGAGACGATCAAGGACTGCGTGAACGTGTACTGCGAGTGGCTGACGGCCCTGCATCCGCAGCCCAGGATCAGTGTGCCCAAGCCGATCTGCGAGGACGCCAATCTCTATGCCCGCCAGATCATCAACCACTTCCACAACCTGTTTGTGCCGCGTCAGGGCGAAAGTGAGTACACATAGACCAAGGACCCTATGATCTATATGCTGCCCCCTGCCTCCGTATTAATCCCCCTCTAAATTTCAAGTCTTGCCATTTCTATACCAAACCACGCTTGGTAGGTTGCTCGAATTGTTGTTACTTGTGGAAAAATAATGCCTAATTTGACGAAATATCATCGTAAAATAAGATTACTTTGCATAAAGATATTGGGCAATGTTTTTCTCAAGACTATAAGGAACCCTTGAAACATTTCAACCCAAAAGTAAATGCTCTCCTTGATGACTTACAGGCGCCGACACCATTAAGCGGCAGGCAGTGCTCTGCCATCGGGTGCTGCGAACCCTCCAGCAGACTGCCCAGATATCGCAGCTGATGGACCGACAGACCTGGGACACGCTGCTCCTCTTCCTGCTGGCCATCAACGAGATCCTGCTGGCCCCGCCCACCGTCAAGGACGACGTGGGCGACCAGCTGTGCGAGCGGGTGCTCTCCGTGCTCTTCGAGGTCTGGCTGCTGGCCTGCGTGCGCAGCTTCCCCTCGCCCTCGATGTGGAAGACCCTGCAGGAATCGTGCGCCATGTGGCGACACCGCGTGGCCCTCGTGGACCAGTGGAACCGGGTGAATCTGGCCCTGACCGCTCGCCTGCTGGAGTTCAGCTATGGCCCTGCGTTTCCCCAGCTCAAAAATGGTGGGTTTGGCTTGGTGTCGCTAAAGAATACCCAATAATCCTTTAAACCCTTCCAGCCGACGAGGATGGCCAGCTGATACCCATTGGCATGTCAAACGACTGTGTGGCCCAGACCTGGTACCGCTTCCTGCGGATGATTGGCAATCCCACGGCCCTGTGCTCACCGCACATCATCAGCAAATCATCGCACTTTGTGCAGTGGGCCCTGACCCACGAAAAGGGCGCCGAGACGCATCAACATCCCTGTTTGCAACAGCTGCCGCAGATCTTCCTCAATGCCATGAAGGGCATATCCAGCCAGGTGGACGCGTTCCTGGGTAAGATTCTGGAAGAGATGGGTGTACTATATTCCTGGAAACCTGGTACTTCTGCAGCTGTTTTTTGGTCTAGAGTGTTAGTCTATTCATGTACCCCTAAATAGCCCTATAGAGAGTTCTTTTTAGTCCCAAAAACACAGCGAGTACCGGGTTTCACATAGTCGGCCAATCCGACTTGGCCTCTCTATCACCTCTAGCTTTAGTTTTGTGGTAGGCTAGCTCAGTACTTCTCCATCTTCTCTTTGTTCGTTTGTTTATCTCTGGCTTTGCTAACCCCCAACAAATTGTATCTAAACCGAAAATGCTAAAATGCCTAAAAACCAGGCGTGTATCAGCCGCCGCCGCAGCAAACGGAGGGTGTGGTCACGAATCTGCTGGAAATCCGGCACTCGCTCAACGAGGCCACCTCCAGCACCCTGCAGCAGTTCATCCACTCGAGCAGTGCCACGAATATAGCTAATCACGGCCAGCAGAATCAGGCGAACCATCACCATCATCACCTCCACTATCCGCATTTGCACTTGCATGGTGCCGGTAGCTTTCTGCGGGACAACTTCATGAGCAACTCGGCCAGTTCCGCTCTAAACGCTATCATGGGTCACCATGGCAGCCATCATCAGCATCACCAGCAGCAGCAGCCGCAGCTCCAGATCAGCGCCTCGCCCACCAGCAGCCTGTCGGCGGCTGGAAGCTCCGCCGTGGGTAGCACGAGTGCCGGAGGCAGTCACTCCGCCGGAGTCGTGGGCAGCATCTCCTTCGGCACCGCCGAGTCGGCCAGCATGGGTCTCACCGCCTCTGCCACGCCCACGCCACCGCTGCAGCGACGCCTGGCCAAGAGCTTCAGCGTGGCCCCGACCATCACACAGCAGAAGGGTGCGACTCTCCACGGAGAATCTCTATTTGGAAACCACCGAATGTTGTAGTCTTTGTTGTCACACCAAATAATGTAGCGAAATTAACCTGGCAGATGGCTTGGGGTTATCCTAGTGATATTAACATACCTATACAGATGAAAACTTGCTATAAAATTGAGATTTTCTGTCCTGTTCTATATGTATGTACATTTTAGTGAAATTCTGGTATTATACTTTTAAAGTGCTTGAG